ATATATGACCACTTGTACATGAGGTGTAAAGGAGGAACTCATGGAAACTGTGTATTCCAATATGGATTACATCTTTACAGTTTTGTTCTTCTCTTATTGATTTTCAAGTCATTCATCACTAAAAATTCATTGATTCATCCAAACTGTGCATGAAAATTGTGTTTACCACTTTACAAGAAACCCTATGTATGAAGAATGAAATTTTTGTGTTTTTACAGACTGTAATTAACTTTACAACTGGAGATTTATAATAAAATCCGAAATCATTGCGTTACTTTCGAAAAAGAAATTACCTTATCAGGTGTGAATGACAAAATTACTTTATAATTCACTGGACTGAATGATCACTATTAAAGTCTGATATGATTTCTGATCTCAGTAGTGGCAATAATAAGAAGGTCCAGTTTCTGTTGCATGAGAAGACTACACTTTCCTGGTCCTAGTTAGCAAAAATAAGATAAAAGGTTGAAGACATTTTCAAAGCATAGTTACGGTGTAAGACTGAAAATGTGGACTCTTCTGTATTTGTAGGAATATCTCTTGCAGTTAATGGAATAAAAGCAACAGCTTCTGTGTATCAAGAAATTAATGCAGTCATTTTTATTTTAGCTATATTGTGAATGTTGGAAAAAATGAGGGGAAATATTAAATATTCATTAATTTATGGCACAATATCGATTGGAATTTTTTCATGTATTTATTCACTCCCCCAGATCCTTTCGGTCTTGTAAATTGAATGAACCTCAGTTTCGATGTATGATTCAGAATGTTTTGTTAAATAGCAGACAGAATGAATCAAGACAGTAACACTTTCTGAGCAATACACATAAAAGAACCTGCAAGAGATTCGTTTTTTTCTTATCATGAATGTTTTTTTTTTCTTAAATAATCAGCTTTTCTATGTATTGTATAGTGAAATCTCAATTATTCAAAGTAGGGGAGAGGAGAAGTAGCATGAATAACTAAAAACAAAGAGTAATCCAAAAATCTGGAAATACTCTCTGTCTTGTTGCATTGAATCCTGAAAATCATTTAGTTGTTACATACTGGTCCAGCGCTTGGTCAATAAACAACAAGACAAATATGTTTCTAGTAGAATAAAGCAACCCTTGTTCAGTAACGACCCATGGGAAAAGCAGTAATATAATAAAATAGAAAGTTACAGCAGGCTGAGAAGATGTACAGTCTATTATAAATAATTGTAAAACATCACTGATATGTACTCGTGAAACAGATGTAATGGGCAACACTTAAATCGTAATATGAAACTGTAATCAACGTGTATATTGTATACATATGGGGTCCTGTTTATTTGTAGAATGAACAACTGAGAGTTCACTGTATTGCAGAAAACTGTGGTGTAAAGCAATCTGTTCACACACAGTCACCAGTCTTGTTAGAAATAACGTCTTTCATAAGTAAATTTGAAAGTTCCAGCCCTGAGCATGTGGGAAGTATTTCACTAAGGCTAATCATTTTTAAGTTTCCCTTTAATCTGGACAGATATACTTTCTCTGTTATGAGTGGAATAGTTCCACTCGTAACATTTTCAATATTCATAATTAGGTAATTATGTTGTATATGGGTAACTTGTGGCCAACAAAAGTGAATGGGAAACCATCTTTTTATGGTTTTTATAAAATGAAAAATATCAGTTAAAACAAAAGTCACTAATGTGCCTTAATGGTAGATTACACTGCAGCTTGAAAATTCATTATATATAATGAAAAAACTTGTAATTTCAAGATACTGTATGGTATAGTACAGATGAAGTTGTTAGGGTAAAAAGCCAATGAGATTTGGAAATTATTTGTGGATGTTAAAGTTTATAAGAGTTTAGTTACAATTTGTTACATAGATTACATAATGTGCCTTGGACTACAACTTGGTGATTTTTCTTTTTTCTTTTTGTTCTTATGAAATTATGCGGACATTCCATTAGAATTTTAAACCAACTGTGAAAAAAGAATGGAAGGAGTGTTTAAATGAAAACCTAAAATTTAAAACTCATAGTATAAATTGTGTGAACCTCTTTAGAAATGAATTAATGGAAAATTTATCAAGGCAGGAACTTCATTTGCACTTAAGGTTTTAGATGTATGTTGTCTTTCGTTTTGGGGGTTTAGTTCATGAGTGTGCAGAATAGGATGGCTCTTTCTTTCAGAGGGAATGATAAATTAATAAATTTGTTGACATTTCATACTTTAACTGAACTTGTGTTATTAGTATCTTGTAGCTGCAGAGTTGATTCATATCATGTGACCTAATGAACAACTTCTATAGTCTGTCTCACATGGCAATTAGAGGCTAATGCTGGAATGCACATGTCAGAAAATTGATAATGCATTAATATATGGCTCTGAGAAACAAGAAACTTGGCAACACTGCAACTTAAACTAACATTAAATATCACAGCACACAGTAATGCTTTAGATAAATTCTAGTTATGAAGATGAGAGAAGCAATGCAGCAGCTACAATGCCTGTATTCCAGTCTTAGCTCTGTCTAACTTCTATCTCCTACCCTCTTAAGGGACAAGGAAATACTGGCATAATCAGTCTACTAAAATGACACTGCTGTTGGAGGATATTGCTCACAGTTACATGACACCTCAATTACTTTTCATCTGGTCCTGTCAAGTGACTGAGATGCATCAGAATATATAATTTGCTTCGAAGACGAAGAGAAAAGAGTACTACATGGAATTAGCTGTATTGGAATGGGTGGAAAGAAAATCCTGCTAAATGTAATTCTTATATGTTTCATTATTCCATGTTTCCTGAAACTTGTCACTCTTCAGCGTCGTTATAGTTTTGGAAATGTCACCCTAAGAAGAATTTGAATTCAGTTGCCATAGTTTTTAATGGGCTTGTGTTTTCAAATAAGAAATGTCAGCAAGTACTGGGAATTCCTGATTTGTGTAGATGTGGGCATAGTTTAAATGAAACTGCTAAAATAATCAAATCCCATATTTTTATGTCTGAAGAAAATGAGCCATCCCATAACAGCTACTTGCTGCTGCCAGCGTTTGCTGTTCAGCATTAGTAACAATTTTTGACAACTGAAATCTAAAATGCATAATTAATACTGCATCAAGTTGACAAAATTAAAATGTTGCAGAACTTGCAATTATTAAACTTTGTAAAAGTTTCCTCTGAATATTTAGTTTATTATGTTGAAATGAAGTAGAAGTTAATTGTTTAATTTGAATACAGTGCATCTTAGATTTTTGTAAAGTGTGGTAAATTAAATTTGCTGTGTAAATATCTCTACTAACTGTCAGACACTCTTTTATTATAATTGTATCTGTGGAGTCCTCTGGTGATAGCAGAACTTAGTTCAACAGAGTTATGAGTTATGAAATTATTCAGTTAGAAAGTGAAGTAATTGGTTGTAGCATCATGACATAGTTTTCAAAATGTCCAGTAATTAAACAGAATCTTGTGACATACTTTATTCAACGGAAAGGGAATGCCTATTTTATTACATATGCACATATTTTTGGTTAATTACAGATTTAGTACATATATATACACATGTACACACTTGCACGGCACATATTTATACACAAATGCCTTGTATAAAATAAATATATATCCATAACATGAACTAAAGTTCATTAATAATGCATTCAGTTTTAAGGGAATAAAATAAATTGTGGGTTACAAATATATTTATGAGTGATAATTCTCAAAATCTTGTATTGTCTTTCTTGATTAGTCAGGATTTTATGTTTATTAAGACTGACTTCTTCATTTTCAGCATGTAAAATACCTTTGCAAAACAGAATACTAAATGTAACACTGTATCTTGTATTTTGTACGTTGTATTGGAAGGTACTCAAAACATGATGGAGAAGAAATAAGCTGCTAATACACAATATGAAATTTGTTTCATGAATGTTTAATTTAATCCAAGAAGAACTGTTTGAATACTACAGTTTATTTCATTTGCTGCTAGTTAAAAGACAATGTACAATTACAAATATTTCAGTTACTGCTTATTCAGAATTCCAGATAATTAGATATACTAGCTGTTACGTATCCTCAGAAATAGTAACAGCTGCTTCCCGCACAAAAATGTGTGATGATTTTGGAACACATTTTTGTGTCAAGTTTTAATTAGAAAGGAGAGGCAGTTTTTCCGCAAGACGATTTGGCATTTTGAGTGTTTAAATTTATGTTTTGCCTCATGCAATTTCCTAATTTTCTCATGTGCCAGAACAAAATTCCAAATTACATTCTTAAGGAAATTCTGGAGTTGAACACAGTAATGAATAATCATACATGTAAAGCTGTTGGGAATGCAAACCAAATGTGAACTATCCCAATAACTTACAAGTGTTAGGATTGCATCTTCTGAGATGGGACGCCATGTGGTCTGATAGATGCATACCAACATTTGAGATGAACCTGCTGCCTCCGTCATTCGAATTGACAGAGTGAACTCACTTCTACGTATTTGGAACCTATACCAAACTGCATAGCATCACATCCCAGAGAACTGCAGTCTTGTTCACTGCTGCTCATATATCATAAAGTCATAATTATATCAGAATCTATGTAACATTTTTGGAGATGGAAAATTCAGATGAACATGACTTGCCTCTCATTATATGTTCTTTGCACAGATAATGCATAAGAAAATATGCCTTATTTTAAGGAATTCATTTTTCTCCTTACTTGTCCTCATCAAAAATTCTTGGAATTAAATTCTATTTTAAAGTGGATCTCACTTCTTATGAACATAATGTACTTCAAAATATCTTCTTAACAAATGTTACAATACCCTATGCATTTATACAGTTCTGATGAAAAATGACAGGAATATCATAAATAATGAATTGGTAATTGCCTTGAGAGTCAGGGAAAGGTTATAAGAACTTCTCAGGATCAGGGCTGTCATGGCCAAAAAGTAATCACAGGACCTCCAGAAAATGATGCAACATTGCTAGAAGCCTACACCACACTGCAGTAAACGGTTTAATTCTTATGTTTCAGTTCCCATGAATAGAAGTGTACAAGCTAAATAAGGTGAATGATTGAATGAAAGGTGCACCAAGACACGAGTGAAGCAGCTTAGTTCTTTCCACCATGTGCAATTTTTGGAACGTGTTGTGTAACTTGTTTGTGCACTACCAGTTGTGTCACAGACGCAGCACTTCTCCAAACATTTTATGTTTTGTTTTTATGAAAGTGTTATTTCTGCTTGCATCAACAGTGCAAATTCAGCATCCATACAGATCTCATACACATGTGTTTGTGTTCCAATCTACCTCATTGACTACCATTAAGCTCCATATGAGTGAACGACTGCAACAGGTTGAAGATACGTAATATATATATAAATATAATCTACTGTATAATCCATATTAAATGATTTGAAGAACTCAAGGTTTTTGTACATAGTTAACATTTTGATACCACTAATATGTCAGACTGTTTACAGAATATCATCAAAATAGATATAGTAATGTTGCCTACTGTTTGTTACTTTCCTGTGGCACTTAATGTTGAGTGATACAAGTAAACATTGTTCAGACATAACAGGTTCCTAACATGGCCTTAGTATCATACTCCATTGTCAGATGTTGCTCTTAGATGTGAAGATTGTTATTATAATGAATTATGCAGAACAGAATAAATACAGCACATAATAATATTGTTAAAAGACAAATCCAGTTCTGTTAAGTATCAGTGCACCTGCAAGTCTTTTTTAGATAACTGTATTATTTTATTTTGCATTGAAATGTCATGAAATAATATCTATTTGTCTGTGACCATAAAAGTGAATTTTGTATTTTATTATGAAATTTAACAGTATGTATCTTGTCGAGTGATGATGTTTACCACCATTTGGCCATGTATTTCATTTACATTAAGAACTGATATGTCAATTAATAAGGATCTCTGGATTTCTGTATTCAGTTCACCATTTTTTTTTATTGAGCCTCTTTCAGGTGTCTAGAATGTTGTAAATATTCTTCAGTGTTTATATAATTCTGAGTGTTGTAGAAGATAATAATGTTACTTACAATTTCCAAATTTTAATACAAAATTAATAAGGCTGTCGTGATTAATCAGTTCATTTAATTGGATTTTTTTAATAATTGTTGCATGTAGTTATCAGTTAAGATCCATATCTATATGCCAAGAATGTTGACTTTAGAATATAAAATTTAATTTTTTTTATATATTCGCTTAGTGGGGGGTGGAGTCCAACTGGATCCACTTGGCATAGTGGTCACTGATTGGCCTATTGTAGCCTGCCCCAGGCGATTGTGATGATGGAGAATTTGGTGGAATGAAGATTGGCAGGGGAAACCGAAGTACTCGGAGAAAACCTGCCCCAGTGCCACTTTGTCCACCACAAATCCCACTTGACCAGACCCGGGATATTGAACATGGGCCACTGCGGTGGGAAGCCAGCGACTAAGCACTTGAGCTATGTCGCAGCCTATATAAAATGTAGTTTCATATGTTGTGTATGTTTGGCATATTATCATTAAGAAAGTCCCTTATTACGTTTCTCAGTTTTAAATTCCCAAGGCTTGTTAAAAGTGAAATGCTGGCTTCTCATGTCCATGTTTGTTGGTATTAACTGTTTACTGAATAATTAATTAATATATATTGATTATTAACATAAATGTTGACAGCCCAAGAAATTAGCTTCTTTACACTGAAGGTGGCCTGACATCATCTTACTTCAGAATGCACTGAAAAATACACAGTTATGAACACTTAAGGATTGAGGCTGATAATTGCCTTACTACTTTGCAGTCAAGCATGCCATAACTATCAAAATGTCACTATCAGTTTCTGCTGCTTCTTTTTTAGAATTGTTTCTCAATAATATACTTTATTCAAGAACCATAAAAAGACTGAAAGAACTGAATATTATTGTGCCATGTTTATGACTGAAGAATACTAGGGCACTTGTCAGGATCAGTGATACTTATGGCTATAGGATATCTGTTACAGATCAGTCATTGTTTTCTCTCATGCCTCATACTTCTCAGACAATATGTGAAGTCTTTCCTATTTCTGATGCAGGAGTTAATTTCTGTGTGAAGGAAACTGTACAGTGGCCACTGGGACAGACTGACACGCACTAAAGACAGCTCATATTGTTATTTGGAAAATATCAGTTTATTCGTATAATGTTGTACATCCAAGCCTGAAATTTACTATAAAATGTGTATTAATAGAAAACTTGTCATATATCATCTCCCTTCTTATGCATGGCTTCTTGAAATTGAACCTGTGTTGTTTAGCATATGCCCTTGAAATTCCACAGCATAATATCCTATTACCCAGTTTCTTCTAAAACATTAGCACCCAACCCTGAAGCAGGCGTGGAAAAAATACAAACTGCAAAAAAATTTCAGTGTGGTCTTCAACAATTTTAATATATTTTTATGATGATGATAATGATGCAGCCTTTTATAAATTTCTACATTATCGTCTGTCAGTATGGAAAAAGTTCTACAATTTCAGGAATATAAATACAGATGGAGATATTACTGGAATGGATATTTTGTGGTCTGCACTGATTACCAATTAGTGTTTAGAACATCATGTCCAACCTAATATTTATCAATATTACATTATAACTTTTGGTACATTTATACTGGTTCAGTAGGTTTAGACACTGCAGATGATTGATAGCTATTTAACATTTTTTTTAATAACTGAATGTTCTCTCGAGGTAACTGCTCATTCCTGCCGTAGAGGAAAAGCTGACTAAAGCACAATAGACCACTGTAGGTCGTTGTGCAAGGGCCGAGAAGGCCCACCCAATATACATTCATTCATTCATTCATTTATTCATACACTATTAATTTCTTGGAGCACTAGGAAGCAAAATTTACTTAAAATTGTGACAACCACAATACTGACTTGGAAGTTATTCAAGAACAGTCATATAGAAAAACCTGGCACCATGTTAGTGCTTCATGTATTGACTCCATCTTCTTTTATTTTCATTGACATTCTAATTGAAAGAAATTTTAACATTGATTTATTTGGCAGTGTTGACGATTTGAGGTTCTTATGGTGGAAACTGTGAAGATACAGGTTTCTGGGATATAATGCCCTGTAGTGTGGTGGACATTTACCAACAGTTGTAAATCTCTTCCAACCCAGTCAGTGCCATGAGAACCTCAGTTCTCACACAGTTTGAACATCTTTTGAGACAGCATTCAAACATTTCCTGTTCCTAATAAATTATACATATGTGATAAGTTACCAGGCCCAAAGACAAGGCAAGTATTTTGTCTTACCCCCTCAAAGAATTATGGGAACTATGGCTATGTAAGACTGACAGTTAAAAAGTATTAAAATAATTAATTACAGCATTACTTTCAAAATGTAGTTAATGAAAGACATTTTTGGTTGCACTGTTGACAATTATTGCTTCATCCTGATTTCAGCTGAGTTGCAGTTGCCATATGTTTACAGTGAGACTTCTCAAAGTTACCTAGATAATACCCAAATCTATGCCAACTGGATTGGTGACATTAATTTCTCACACTACATCATGAGCTACCCATCTAATAGTTTCAGTATGAGAGAATTAAATTGTTACTGTACCTCATAAATTTACCTTGTATAAGGTCAGCTGAAACATGAAAGCTGGATTTATACATAGACCTTATCTATGTAAAAAGATGATGGGAAAGTTTGCCCTTTCCAATATGACCTATAGAAACTCTATTTATTATGTTACATGACATTTGGAACAAATTAGCAAGTGCACATATTGTATCCATCCTTAAGTTCAGTGTTCCTAACACTGATTTCTCAGTAACAGCATGTATGTATATCAGAGGAAATACAAATGGTAAAGGCAAAATTAAAGTTAGTCCCTTGCCCAAGAATCATGTTCTCCATATCTGGACTTTGTGGTCAGCTTCATGCTGACTGCTTTACCACTAAGGAAATGGCTGTCGTACCAGATGAGTAGGCAGGAGGCTGAGTGAGCCAGAAGCCTTTTGGAATGAGTGAAGAGATGTATTTCTGACATATATTCCAAAAATCAAACCACTCATCCAATTCATACCAGTTAACTTCAATGACTGAGCTGTCATGGATGTCAAAAAATTGAATATGCAAAGTTATATCATTAGGTTTACAACTTCCAATTTACTGTGATTTGGGAGAAAGACCTAAAATCAGGTTGCTGTTTTATGGTGTGTGATGCCATGTAGTCTGGTTAATGTTTACTCATATTCCAAAGAAATGTGCTGGTTCCATATACCTGAAGCTGGAGCCAGTAAGTTCCTTCAGAACATTAATAAATGTCTACCAGACTACGTGGCGTCATACCCCATAATCACTGCCACGAAGAACTTAGGTCTCAAAAACTGATGTAGAGGCAGTGCATACTTGGACACAGACATGAAGATGTGTCCTTTCAGTAATGGCTATCCATGCCATGTTTTAGTGTGTAATCATGGGAAAATGAAGGACCAGATTGGCTTTGCTCCTGCCTCCAGCTTGAGAATGAAACCCTATTAGGATTGTTATGTCACAACACACTTTTCTTCCTTTTCCTCCTCTTTTGATTACCCCTCTCCTAGCACAATTTCTGTCTTACACAGGTTGATAGACCTAAATTGTTCACTTTTGGTATCTTGCAGACTCTTTCCTCTCTTCTTGATGTCTCCAGTACCACAGATCTTGTCATTTATATATAATTTTAATGTCCTTCACAGTGGGCACTATGCTACACACTGGAAGGTCATGGGTTCAATTCCTGATGAGGTAAATTGGATTTTTCAATTGACTTAATCCTTCCAGCCACACTTATGGCCCTGGGGTCGACTCACCCTCAAACAAATAAGTACCAGGGATTATTTCTGGGGGCGTAAAAGGAGGAGGGCACATAAGGCCAACAACCTCACTGCCATCTGAGAGCCGACTGTATAGAAAATATGGGATTCTCAATGTCTCGCAGCCCTATGGACCTCCACGGCCTGTTACTGGGATGGCATTACATTTACCTTCTCAGTGCCCTGTTTCATCCATTTATTTTATAGTCAAACCACTGTAGACATTCCCTTATAACACTGTTAACAAATTTTTCATTTCAGCTTCTTTAAAAATTTCATTTCAGATTCTGTCTCTGCTTATTTTTCTCAGAGTGGTTCTAAAAAGATTTCGTATCCAGTGCTTTGCTCATCCTTTTGTTTCTCTTTGTAAGGGTCCATGTTTCAGTTTCAAACGTTAGCATCCCTTTGAAACATATTTCATAAATTATTTTGGAATCTTTCTGTTCCATGTTATCCCTTTTATATTTTCTTAAAAACTATAGATCTATCAGGCCATTGTGTATTTTGGAGCTCTAGAAACAAATTAACCCCTGATCATAATAGAAGTAAACAGTTTACTGTGAACATTATTGTAGCCTGTTGCTTCTGTAAGTTGAAGCTTGTCTTGTCTTAAACAGTAACTGATTTTAAAATATTCTCTGTATTTCATTTGACTTGATACTACTAATAGGAAATGAGTGTTTCGAATTATTAATATTTTCACTCCCAGTGATCACTTAATTATTGTTAATTAGTAAAACTCTTCATGTGCTTTAAAGATAAACTTACTTTCTTGCCTGATGCCATTCTTTATTTAATATGGCCATTGATGGTAACAGCAACAGTCAAACTGATAATTCTGTTGCAAGAAATATATATATGTATAGATATAACTCATTGCCAATTAATTGTAATTTTACTCCTTGGAGGAAGGCTGAATTTTATTATAACTTTTATTATTAATCATATCATCATTTTTGTAGAAGTTTAATAAAATCTTGCACTGCACTTTGTACTACAATATAAAGTAATTTAGTTATTTTAATCTTCATAATCATGACAAGTGCGTGGATCTATACATCCACTCCCCCATACCCCGTCATGGCATAATTCCTAATTAGTTAAGCATAGCGGCAGCATTACCTTACTTTAATCATGACAAGTGCCTAGAACAGAGTATTTGCAGTAGTCATGGTCAGTGAACAAATGCAGACTCACTTGTACCTACCACTCTCATATGCCTAAAGGTACAGTGTTCATATCTGGTGGTTGGTGAGATTTTTCAATGGAAAAGAAGAATGTCATTCATTTGTGAATATGTTTCTGTTGTGAAGTGCACAAAATGAATGCATTATAGACAGATTGTGGTTGTTTGACTGCATGTTTCATCTGTGAAACTGCTCAGCAGGGTTCAGTCAAA